TTAATATTATTTATAATATAAAAATAATCATCTATTCGTTGATATTGTTTACATTTTAAATGTTTTAATTCTCACTAACGATTATGTTATATTATATTGTATAATAAYCATTTATTCATATTATTCAACCTAAGTCCTTTCAGCATACCAATATTTCACTGAATCCACTTGAGTACCTACATATACATCTTATGTTCTTGAATAAATATTTTCAGTTATTACTATTATTATTGTGATGATGCTATACTAAACGTATGAGCTATGTAATCGTTTAAACAATCACTTACTGAGTGATGATTACGTATTCGTGTTTAAAATTATCATTGTGTTCAAAATAACGGGGTGCGGTTAGAAAATGTTTGTATAAGCCAGTACCAACGCATGAAATTATTATGAACAAACTAAAGTGAAAAAATATAAATTTAAAAAAAAAACCAACTTGAATAACAAAACATGAATTGTAATAAATAATAATAAACGAATAAAAACCCTGTTCAACTTTTATATTCATAATAGTTTAGGTATATTATTGAAATAAATAACGAAATATACAACTCATTTCTAATATAAATTTAAGAAGTATATTCTGCATGTTGACTTGTTGGGTTATGCTCGTATACTCATACGATATGGATAAATACATTYTAGATATTAATAATGTAATTTATAAGAAATTTTGCAAAATTCATCCATAAAAGAAAATCTAGAAAATCTAAGAACTCCCAGCTGTAATATTTTGAGAAAACATTACTAAATACGAAAAAGAAGWTATTAAAAGTAGAATTTAAGAGTAACAGGTACCTAGTAAATTTGGTTTTTTTTCGAGACTTGTGTCTGAAAATATAAMAATTGTTAAAATACATATTGAAGGTATACACTATATTATTTATAACGATACAATTTAAAACGAAATACTTAAATATAAATTTTATTCAACATCAACAATAAATTCTGAAAGTAAATCACAATAAAGGTAAATAAATAAAAAAATAAATATACACGTGAAAACAACACTGATTTACGATAACAGCATTTAAACCTTCAACAAAAATCTAAATGCATAGTTATTCAATGTTTGTGTAAAGTTTTTGAAAGAGTAAATAAATATTTATAGCATATAGAAATGGTTTGATTTTAGAAATGTAGGTGACATTGATTAATAAAATTTAAAGGCACGCATCCAGAAATGTACCCATTGACTCACACTGTATACACGATTATATATTATTATATAGGTAGGTATATATTATTTGTTACACTCGTGATTTACGGTTTTACTTATCCATTCCAAGTCTCCAATGTAATGCCTCCTGCGCCTGTTTGACATTAACTAATACAAATCAGCCTACTGTGTAAAAACTCTAMAAATTGACTATTAAGCCCAATTCGACATCGTTCTCTGCCCTCACCAAGACGCAACCATAAACTCTGTACCTGGCATATAAATTACAACCTTTTACTGGAATCTTAAACCGTTATTTAGCGTGTCTAAGGTTAATTTTTCGTACTAACATCATCCCTCGAAACTCGCGAACTTGACGGAAACCACTTGAATTGAAACAAAGTGCTATTCTTTTAGTGGGACGTTATAAAAAAAAAAACACCCTAAAATAATAAATGTTTTCTCCATTATATGAGCATAGTACATAAATAATATTACTCGCAGCAATGACGGAAAAACAACAATGTGTTCAATGTAATTATTTCTCGGGCATGTGTTATATAACTTCATTATTCAAATTTYCAATAATAATGACTATGAAATAAAAACCAACTAATCATTTATTATGATGGATAATTTGTTTTTAAAATTGAAACCTTCTGCTAAAACGAAGATACATTTATCTACCTGAAATAAATATTTATAAATTGGTAATAAAAATAACCAATCCTACGTTTAAATTTCAGATCAAAACTAACAGGTAATATTATTATCTGTTGGAAATCGAGAAAATTAAAATTCAATAATATATTGTAATATAGTTATATTTGGACATTATTCTACTCCAACACGTCATGTCGTCTACTAACAATATACATATTATCAGTATCAATTATATAATCTAAGTATGTATAATACATCAAKGATATTATGTCTATTGTTTAATTAATAGAAAAAGTTGAAGTGCGGGTGTCCAGGGAACATTAATGTGTATAAAAAACTAAAAAAAATTATAATATAGATATTTTATCAATGAGTCAAAAAAAAAAAATAGTATGAATAATTCATATTAAGTATAATATAATTCAGTGCCGGTACAATTTATCTTAAATTGCCGTGAATACATCATTAATATAATATGATTCTTGCTTATTAAAAGTTTGAATGGTCACCCCCATTTTTCCTTAAACAATGGATTTTTTCAAATTCTTAAATTTATAGAATACTTAAATAGTATTCTGTGGCGATAAAAAATTTTTTTTCAAATGAAAGCCCTTTATTGCTATAATTTATTTTATTCTAATGATCATTTTGATGTAATTAATTCGGAAATTGAATGAGTTTCTTGTTATTAATATGTTTGTATTACTGATAATAATGCTCAGATAAAAATAAGATATGCGTAAATATAAAATAGACGTAATATTCAAACTACCATTTACTATGTTTTGACCATAAATATTGCTCAAAAACTACTCGTATCCTATGAATTTTAACTCAAATTTTCAGAAAAATTATTCACTAAATAATTTACAGTTGAAAAGAGGGGAGGGTTCTCWTTTGAAAAACAGAAGTTTATATCTCCACAGTACACTCTTTAAGTAGTGCAAAAATCTCGAGAAATTGAAAATAAAATCTTTAAATATATATCTATTTGAAAATTCTAAAAATCAAAATTTTAAAACTACATTATTGAAGAAAAAAAGGGGATGGTGAATCTCCCTGTATATTTTTATCAGACGTGCACAACATTGGTAGGGTTTTTTGCGTTTGTGCAGCAGTTTAAAAGGTAATGGAAAAAATGGATATATATATATAATATATAAACATAATATATTGTACGTGGTGGTGTCGACGACTCGTCGGTTATTAATGTTATTATTATCATTTGATCAAACGGCTAGGGTTGGTGATGGTGGTGGTGGGTTGGAGTAGGTTTAAAAAACTTGTATGTATTTAAGTCCCCAGTCACTTCAAATTGCTAACAATACATAATAATATTTACATATATTGTGAAATATACATATATATATATATATATATATATATAGGTATATGTATATATATATACAGGCATATAGCAACATTGACATCAATGGAACTGGAGCTTTCACGGGCGCTCCGAGTTCACTGCACAGGACGAACAATTATGATTATTTTTATTATTATTGGTGTACGAGACCGCCAAAGCTACCGATATAAACGACAGCACCATTCGCAAAAGCGATGGCCATAATTATATAAAATAACGAAATGGAAATGTAATTTATGTGAACATGTGCGATTAACCTAATGACGTATCTATGGAGGTAAACTAAATTCCCTTCATGGTAGTAGTTRTTATTTGTCACGCGCTAACTAGAGACTTAGGTACTGATCGCATTTCTCATCAGATGTTGTTTTTGGTATTTAAATCACATCACGATATTGTTAAGACATTGATAATTTGATTAATGCAAATTACATTTTTTTGATTTTAAACTTCGTATTTCTATAATTTCCGCGTTTGAGAACATCAAATGAAGGTACTAATTATTGTACGAAAAATTATTGAGCTAATATAAATGTAAAAATTTTCCCCAAATCTGTGATTGCTCCAACTGCAGTCTGTGTTAATTAACTACAGCAAAATATAATTTGTGATTCAGACATAATTAAATTTCTCCGTGCATACTTCATACCCTTCTCTTTCCGGTAATTATAAACTATCTTTGAAGTTTATACCGTCACGGTTCAGTTTGAGTAAAAATTACCTTGAACAACCTTAATCTATTTCGTTTCTGTAATTACCTACCCCGATATTCATGTAATGTTCAATAATTATTCATCATAATTTATTAATTAACTAAAATAGTACATGATATATTGTATTTTTTTTCACATAAACAATCATCGAAACAATATTAAAAGAAAAATGATTTGGTATTTGCACTAATTACTAATATATACATAATATATCAACGCTGAATTAGCGCATGAATTATATTTATATTTATATTTTTTATGTATTTTGAGTTTATGTCATTTCTTTAAGTAAAAACTTTCAAACATCATAATATAATATAACAGAAATACATCTAAATATACGTTTATATCAAATTTGAAATTCAGTGAGTATTTGACATTTCATAAAGGGTATAAAAGTCGTTATACTCAATAATATACTGATAAAGTAAGCCAAAGCTTTTTAGAATACTGCTTGTGACTTTTTTTAAACAAGTTAAAGTCTTAAAGATTTAATTTAACTTGTTTTAATATAAACAGAAATGTTTAAAAAACGAAAAAAAATTTACACAATACGGTAGATTTCAAAGTAAATGACTATTCATCGTTAGGTAATAATTTAATCAAAAATGTATTATTTTTTCTTTATAAAAACATCAATTCCAGTCAAAATGAACATAATATTGCGATTAGTATAGCTAAGCACATTTTGTCCATTATCAAAGAATATAAATCTTTAGGAAATGTGTTTTTTTTATTTACTAAAATGGTTCAGATTTTAAGTCTTACATCAAATATGACGTTTAATTTGTCTACCGTACTTAGTGCTTATAATAATTTTTATCAACTTACGAAATTAATTTTTCGGCCCATTTGTTTTATTTGTTTTTTATTTTTTACTAGCTAAACCAGTACACTTCGTAAACCGTTAATAATCCTACCTCATATATGTCTCACACTGTGTGTCAAATTCGTCAAATTTTTCCGGCGACGGTCGGAAGAAACCACCCACCCCCACCCCCACCCCAACAACAACAACAATATTGTTGACGTCCGTGAAGGACGACGACGACGACTACGATGAGGCGTGTAGACCGTGGGCGACAACACTCACTTCGTGCGTTGTGCGACAACTCGGTGAGCAGCTCTTTGAACGAGTCTCTGCTGTCGGTGTCGTTGAAGCTCTTGTGCACGGGCTTCAGTCCCAGGGCGAGGAACACGGCGGACAGTGTGAAATAGCACTTTGAGTTGCCCATCAGCGAGTTGAGGCCGTGGTTGTAGTACAACAGGCCGGCMACGTTCCATCCGAACCCGTGGAGTATGTGCCGGAGAGCCTCGCCGACCAGCTTGTACGAGCCCATCATCCTGGTCAGCGTCGGATATTCGTGCCGGTTGTCGAAGTTCTCGGCCAGCGCGCCAGCCGTCAGCACCGGGATCTTCCACACGCCCGCGTATCGCGACACGGGCGCAATCACGTAGTCGCACACCGGTCCCAGGAACAGATCTGAAACCAAGACACGCCGAGATTGTGGTTAGCTGAGAGGTAATATAGGTAAGTACCATAACCATCATAATGTTATTGGCAATAACTTATTGCGTTGATTAAATATTAAGTGCGTGTGTTGCAATAAACGCACGTGTGCAGCGCCATTTTTGATCGGCGGCGGCTATGTATGTATATATCATGTATATGTATATGTATATGTATGCTATATCCTATGTGGTAGGATTACCCACCCACTTACCCTATCTTATCATTATTATTATTATTATTATTATTATTATTATAGTTATTAGTTATTAGTTATTAACCATATAGAGGTACCTCTACCTATATGCTTGTTATTATTTGTTTATCGTTACCATAGCTATGATAAATCAACGTTGGATTAAGACTATTGGGACAGCCATATCGAATTTACGTAGTACACTACTTTGACAAAACCACCTCTAACAATCATACTTTTCAAAAAATTTTATCAGAATAATATGAGTTTCCCATTAAATCGACATGTCATGTAATGTATGCATTACAATGTTGATTATATAATCGGTAACCAAATAAATGTTTCTTTTTTAATTAAAACATAACATMATTTTAGTATTTACTTATTAAAAAATTATCATAAAGGAGATTGATTATATTACTCTTACATGTTGTACTACACGTTTTATGTTTTTTATTTGATTTTATACTTAATCTGGTTTCTATGGCGTATTATTTAATCGTGTTGGTATATTTTAAAAGCTTCGATTTGGGGATGAGTTTTTTTTTTAAACTGGCTTTATTGCCAATGCGTGACATTGACATTAAAACGACAAGAGTTCTGTAACATTACGTCGGTTATACGAAAAAAATTATACCCACAAAACAAAGTTAGGCGTTTATAAGAAAGTAAGAAAGCGCGTAAATGTAATTTTGTTTTCGCTGGCCCACCTTTAAGTTTAGAAAGAGTGACTCGGTGCCTTTTAGTAGAACGCCCACTATACCCTATACATACATATACTRTTATATATTGTAATTGTATTGACTGCACACGGTTTTTACAAGTCGACGTTGGTTTGAAGACATTCCAGTCATAATTTTCGGACGATTGATGTAGGTAATTATATGATATCGTTGATCATGCATTCATGCACCCAGAAATAAATAAATAATTTCATCAACAAAGCTGAATTCGGTCAGTAAATTCAATTAACATAACCTGATTAAATTAATGTGCGAGTAAACAGGCATATTATGGTAATGTAATGTAAGTGAAATATATTATGTAAATATAATAACATATTCCTCGTCAGATAACAACCAGATAGTTGAAGCCTTAAACAATAACAATAATGATTATAAAAATAATGATAATATTAAAAAATGTACCTAGTGACCTCGCAGATCTTGTTAGCATTCCATCTGCCTACTGCGACCACCTTGCAGCAATTTTTAACATAATATAACATCTCAATTTTAAATTATGTATGTGATAACGTACTGTAATTGATTAGTTATGAGATAGGTACTTTTAAAGTTAACGGTACACCTATACAATATTTTCAAAATCATAGACAGAAATAAATCTATAAATAGGTGCCTAGTACAAGTAACTGAAAGTTTTAAAATAACTTTAAATTAATTCGTATACAACTGATTCGTTTTTATTTAAAAAAAAAAAAATATATTAAACAATCGATTTAAGATTACGAATAAAATGTTTTAAAAACCACAATATTCGCGTAACTACAGTAAACAAAAATATGTCACGTAACGGTGTTAAAAAAAATACCACAAAAATAAATCAGAAAAAATGAATTAATCAATTAGATTTAAAAATTTAGTTTGAAATTCACATAATGAAAATGAAAATGAAGAATATATTATAGAACTTAATTCAACACTTTGTTTATATGCGGTTACATAACCACCTTCCTGTTGTACCCCATTGAATGTATGTAAAACCTAATTATAGTTCTCCACTTTCACATAATAATTTYAAAAATATACGAGTATATTCAACTCTAAACTTTATTACAACTACTTATTACCAACGCAAATCATACAATCAATGTATATCCAGAAATTCATAACGATTATATCACTTGATTAACAATCGTCAGCTGTATTCAACGCTCACTGTCAAGCCGATAATAATTAACATCAAACAAAATTGGTACGAGTACTTCATTCCGATACGTATACTGTTCAGTTAAATAAACACGTTTGTTTGTGCCTGAYAAATATATTTATTTTCCTTTTTTCTAGCCTTATTTCACATTAACCTAACGTTGAAATCGTATGGGATCACAATCTGTCAATTAGTTACGTGTTTGAAAATACTTAAATATTACAGTAATATTTAAATACTTAAATTAAATAACCCAAAATACTTTTAATAGTAGACATCACAAAACAAAAATATATTGTAATTTTTCAGCCTCTATATATACCCAAATATATAATGCTTTAAAGTAATGATGTTTGTAACAAAAAACAAAAGTCGGGTTATACAGCTAAAGTAATATAATGATACTCGAAKTCTTTCTTCTGCTAAAAAAAATTGAGAAATCGTGGATGATTATATGTTTTTATTGTTGATTAGCTTATTTTATGTGGCTATAAAAAATCGGTTACTCGAAATTTGTGAGGGACAGAAAAAAAAGTTATACCTTTCCAGCACAAAAACACATTTATACTTAAATATAAAATGTGAAGAATAAATCAAAAATATTCCAGTAAAATGTGTACCCTCATTATGACAATTTGTTAAATTATTTTCAGTACAATTRTCTACAGTAAAGATATTTCAATAATAAATTATTATTATACTTTATTTTAGGCTAATATAATCTATATAGTGTATAAATATATCTATAAACATTCAATTCTCAGGTACACTAACACTTTATTAATAAACAAAAACAGTATTTATATAAATTATTGTCTATTAAAAACAACAAAGGTAAATGTAAATGAAGCATTTAAAATGATTTTATTTTGGTATTTAAGTAACCTGATAAAAATATTCTTTTGACTAGGTAATCATATACCTACCTAATGTTATACGAAGTCACTATAATTGCATATAGTGCCTACTCAGTAGTTATATTATAATACTACAGTATCTACTAAACGAGTATATTCATGTAAAAAWGCAATATATTTTGAAAAATATATTGAACAATATGTCAATATTATTACATAGTATAAGTTATGAAATCGATGAAACATAGAAATACATATTTATATATATATATACATATATTGAATTTATTATTCCATCAAATTCAGTTGACAGATAAATAAAACTTCAAAACGTTCACTCTTATAGGAAACGTTATATTTTCTATATATAACTTGCCAATCATAAGTAGTAGCTGCTGACATTTTAACTGTCATATTTTATGTCAACCGCATATTAAGTTTACGTTACAGAAAATATATTTATGACTATTATTTGAATCCACGTATTACAAATAAAATAAATAAATCAACAAAAATATTTTTTTTTAAACAACAAAAATATATAGGTACAGTAAAACATAAAATTGTTTTCTTTAAATGAGTTCTAGCTCTAGAGGAAGGTAATGTCTTGATCTTGAATACATTTCAATATACGTTTTATTTCTAGGTACCTATTTTTAAATATGTATATGTATTCAGTGTCTTTAAATTTAAAAAATGTTCAAATATTAAACATATTTTATTATGTTTTATGACATTATAGTTGCTACTGTAAAAACGAGTCCTTACACATTATCCTAGTTAAAAAATAAATTGGCTCGGGAATATGACATTTCACATGGCCCAAGCTCTGACAGGGCATGGTTGCTTCCAACATTGTCTTTGGAAGAGGAGGAGGGCAGCTGATCCCCGCTGCTACCACTGCGAAGAGCCGGAGGACACAGTAGAACATACGCTGATCCATTGTCCGCACCGGGCGGAGTGTAGGCACGGGATGGAGCAGTGCATCGGTCGGCGACTACGGCCCGAGGATGTTCCTGATATCATTCTGGGGCCGGAGCAGGAGCTCCTCCCAGATGACAGGTCAAGGAGAAGGCGGATTGAGGCATTGGCGAATAATCAGAGGATAGCGTTTGGCATAATGGTGGAGACAATACTTGGGCTAAAGGAGGAAGCAGAGCGCTCTCCAGACAGGCAGGTKGACAGTAGGGTAAACTTTATTATTTTGTGGGCCGAAGGCCAGTTTTTCAAGGTGGTTAGAGGCCCCCGCATATGTAAAATAACTATGATAATTGACGGCGAATAAACGATACGGGAAAGGGTGGCAGTATTGTGCTAAACATTTCCCACCCGTTCCTGGTTTTTAGAACGGAAAAAGAAAAGAAAAAAAGTTAAAAAATTAATTATAATATCTATATTTCACAAAACAAACTTAACTTTTGTTATGATAAAGACTACTCATTATTAATCAATTTTAATAATTTTTTTTAAGGTTTCAATGACTAAATTTTAAACAATAAATCTAAATCAATAAAAAATCAAATTATAGTATATTTCAGTTTTTACAGCAATAATTTCATTTCAGCTCATAATTAAACTGTTCAGACAAGACAAATAAGTTTTTGGTAGAGAAGTTAGTGTACATATTTCTACCCCAAGTGAACACACAAGTTCATAAAGTTTTTGATAAAATCGTAAATGAAATTATTGTTTTAATAATTTACAGAAAATGTAAATGAAAGACTTCTGTAGGTAGTGAAAATCGAAATTGCAATCCCGTTTCTAAGGCGTAGAACAACSATCGTTTCATCATTACCATCTAAAGTTTACGGRAATTAGTTAAAATATTTATACACACTGACTGACAGTTATTATAAAGAGTGGATATTTCTAAGCCTATAATTACWTACAACTTTGTGAATATATTACACCGATTCATTTTAACAAATTCATTGTCTTAATTAACTATGAAGACAATGCAATTTAGGATAAAAGGCTTAAATATCAAAACGTTATATACATATATATACCTGGTTTCAGTTCACTAAAAA